TGAAAAGAAACTGAATACTAGCAATCTTTAACTTAAAAAGGTTATGCTCACATGTGGCAAATAAAGACATTTCCTCTGAGTAATTCAGGTATACAGGTTGATACTAAGATTCAGACTCTATTGTATCTTCAAGAATAACTAAAATCTTGATTCACTGCTTGAAACTGTACCCATTTTTCAAACAAATTTATGGATCGCTCACCATGGACATAGTGCCATGACTGTATTAAAAGTCCCTTACGGGGGGAGGGGGGCAGGTATATACCTATATACATGAGTGAGATGTGCACCATCTGGGGGATGGTCATGCTGGAGACTCAGACTTGTGGGGGGAGGGGGAGAAAGGGCATTTATTGAAGCCTTAAAATCTGTACCCCCATAATATGCCAAAATAAAAAAAAAAAAGAAAGAAAGAAAAAAGAAAAGTCCCTTACTTCCAGTGTCATTAAAGCAAACATTTTACATTAAAAGTGAAAACACTAAGAAAACTTAGGGATCAGTATCCTCATATTTAATCAAGATTGGCCTGAAGGAAAAAAGGGGATTTTGTGTTGAGGGAAGTGGAAACAAGAAAGGAGACAGGAAATTTTAGAGGATGGACTACTTTGGGGAAGATTCTTGGATAGGGTGTTCTAGCGAGAGATAGAAGTCAAGTCTTCAGTGCAAAATGGAAAAATTGACATCAGAGTTCTGATGGAGGATTAAATGAGCATATAAAGCACTTAATACAGAGCCTGGCATATAACTGGCATTCAATAATTACCTGTGAATCAAACTTCATTGTCTTTAAATGGTTAGTCCCTGTCCTCAAGTCTGTACTATTTAACTACCTGCTTTTGTAGACTGGCCAGAGAAAGCTGACATTGTCTTCATTATTTGATATTCCCAAATCAACCTACTAAAAATGTTAAGTTACCAGTTATTTCTGGCAGTTCCAGAAATTAAAAAGTTTCCAAATAATATTAAGAATCTTAAATTTAGGCCAGGTTTGGTGGCTCACACCTGTAATTCTAGCACTCTGAAAGACGGAGGTGAGAGGTTCCCTTGAGGCCAGCAGTTCCAGACCAGCCTGGGCAACAATTTGAGACTCTGTCTCTACAAAAATTAGCCAAGTGTGGCGGCTCATGCCTGTACTCCCAACTACTCCAGAGGCTGATGCAGGAGAATTCTTTGAGCCCAGGAGTTGGAAGCTGCACTGAGCTATGATCCAACCACCACACTCCAGCCTAGGGTGACAGCCTGAGATCCTGTATCTCCAAAAAGAAAAGAAAAAAAAACTTGAAATTTAAATACATTGTAAAAGATTAGCAGAGCCTTAACCCAGTATGCCACTGACCGTCACATTTCTGGATAAGGAGGGGAAAAAAGTTTCCACTAACACTATGAGGCTACAGTCTTTTTTAGGCCATATTCACCTCCAGATACAATCTTTCTAAAAACAACAGTCATATCTAATTGCTGCACTTTACAAGCTACTTCAAAGTAACAAATTATCAGACAAACTAGTAAAAAACTTATTAATCTATTAAGAAAACAAGTGTAGGCCGGGCGAGGTGGTGGCTCACGCCTGTAATCCTAGCACTCTGGGAGGCCCAGGCAGGCAGATTGCTAGAGGTCAGGAGTTCGAAACCAGCCAGAGCAAGAGCGAGACCCAGTCTCTACTATAAATAGAAAGAAATTAATTGGCCAACTAATATATATAGAAAAAATTAGCTGGGCACCGTGGCGCATGCCTGTAGTCCTAGCTCCTGGGGAGGCTGAGACCAGGAATTTGAGGTTGCTGTGAGCTAGGCTGACACCATGGCACTCACTCTATGTAGCCTGGGCAACAAAGTGAGACTCTGTCTCAAAAAAAAAAAGAAAAAAGAAAAAGAAAACAAGTGTAACCATATTTCCCAAACAGATTGGAAATATCAACATAAAAGTGAAAAAATTTTGGAGGTAAAGAATTATTAATACACTGTACTTCAAAACAACTATAATATGTAGATTGAAAATTGCAAAAAGAAACCTAAAATTTTATTTTAATGCATAGAGCTCTCAAACTGCCAATATTCCAAAAATAAAAACAAAAAGCTAATACAAGAACTAACTGAGGTTTTCCTTTTTCTTTTTTTTTTCTAATAAATGCAACAAAGGCAGAATCACCTTATCTGACAATACTTTGAAAAACAATGCAGTGGGGAAAGCTACCCGACAAAGAAACATCTCAAGCTCATATAACTTAACACTAACTTTAAAAATCCTCAGACTTGACTAAATATGTTAAGGTATTTATCAATTGTTGCTTCATAAAAGCTGCGCGCTCGTTCAGCAGCATGTCAATCACAAGAGTAGCGACTATAAAAATATACTCCTCAATTGATATATACTTCTGAATGAGATTTCTACTTTTATAATGCACTTTCGAAGTCTTTGGAGTGTCCGGTTAGGCTTTTTGATAGGGAGTGCTACAGAAGGAAAGCCAAAGTGAGGTTAAAAATACTTGACTTTTTTCCACTTGGCAACTGCGAGAATAAAAGTTTACCTCAAAGAAAATGAATACGAGCAGTCTCAAGAAAAAAATTATCACCAAGAACAAAAAGAAAGGAAGAGTTTCAGGAGGGAATCAAAGTAAAATTAAAGATAAAGGGTTAATTCAAAAGGAGGGGGGGCGGGAAAAAAACAGAAGACAGCAATGGGACAAAAGGAAGGTTCGCTGGGTTCTAAAAAGAGGTTTGAATGAAAAAGTCTTTTCTCCAGGTCTAAGACCACAGAGGGCCGGTGGCGAGGCCAAAGGCCACGCAATGATGTCGTTAAGGTGAAGGGATTAATTTCCAGAGTGGAGCCTCCTCTCCCTCCACGTTAGCCTCTCACAGCCCTGGTCTCGGTTCTAAGCATCCAGGTGTGTGCCAAGGAGAAACGAACCACGATACCGCGGCATCCACGGAGAACAATAGGCTGGGGAGCGGCGCAGGGCCGAGGCCTTCCCTCCGGGACGACCACCATCCCGCCTCCCTCATCGCTGCCCCAGACTCACAGAGTCTTGGGCATCTCGTCCTCCATGGCTGCTGCTGTCGCGGCGGCGCCTCTGGGTCCAGCTCCCTGCCCTTCACTACCTCCCAAATCGTTTGAGCGGCTATGGCTGCGGAATAGCGGGGTTTCTCGGATGACCAGGGGTTACCCCGCCTCCTCCTTCGGCGGCAATTACACTACACTGTCCGGCCCGGCGCGAACAATGAAGCGCCGATACAAGATGGCGGCGAGCCGGGAAACTAGAAGCAGCCAGCGAAGTGACCCGGGCCGCGCAGGCGCAGAATAACCTTGCACGTTCAACCTCCAGGCCGCCAGGCTACATCTCAACCTATAGGTTCACTTGTTGCGCAGCCGCTCTTCAACCCGACACGAGGGATGTCTCAGACTGAGCAGGCGCAAGAATTAACTCTTTCAAGACTTCGTGAAGTTTTTTATTTTACAGTGCACATTTGAGTGTTTCAACAGTGAATTATAATAAAACAAAAATGAGAAGGGAAATTAAAAAGCCGAAACATTTTCATGGGAGGAAAGGTTTATAAAGAATTTTCAAGGTGTCACGATTTTAGAGGCAAGCAAAAACGAGCTGCGCCGCCCGGGAATCGAACCCGGGTCGCAAGAATGGGAATCTTGCATGATACCACTACACCAGCGGCGCTGATAGCTCCTGAATTTACCACAGTTTCTTAGAAAGAAATACAGGCACCACTGTTTTTCTTGTAAGAATAATTTTCATATATTTATTTATTTAAAAATAAGAGTTTATTAACGGTGTATAATCTGCTATTTTTTACTGATATAAGAAACAATTATCTTCTCTTATTCCAATATAGTTGAATGGATTTTTCTGTAAAGAAGAAATCTTAATTTTAAATTTTTTAGTTACAAATTTTTTTCATCTGTAAAATAGAGATGCTAGAAAAGAAAGAAAAAAAAGAAATAGGTCAGGTTTTCAATTTGCCTTGTTGGTACTAACTAAATATTTGAAAGTGAAGAAAATACATCCAGATGCCAGATTTTTCTTTATGTTTGCATTTTTTTTGGTATGTTCAAAGTACGTTGAAAATTATTTAAGAAATACTTATTTAATGCAAATTGGTCACAAGAATATTAAAAGTAAATGAGTCTGAAGTTCAGCGTTCTTTTAGGGGACAGAGAAATTAGGGCTCTGAAATGTGGTTCATTGTACAAATCATGCATTTTATAAGCTACAGAAATGTTGTTTTGTGTGTGTGTGTGTGTGTGTGTGTGTGTGTGTGAGATAGAGTCTCACTTTGTTGCCCAGGCTAGAGTGAGTGCCGTGGCAGTCAGCCTAGTTCACAGCAACCTCAAACTCCTGAGCTCAAGCAATCCTTCTGCCTCAGCCTCCCAAGTAGCTAGGACTACAGGCATGTGCCACCATGCCCGGCTAATTTTTTTTATATATATTAGTTGGCCAATTAATTTCTTTCTATTTCTAGTAGAGAGGGGCGTCTCACTCTTGCTCAGGCTGGTTTTGAACTCATGACCTCTAGCAATCCGCCCGCCTTGGCCTACCAGAGCACTAGGATTACAGGCGTGAGCCACCAAGCCGGGCCCCAGAAATCTTTTTTATACATAGGAGAATTTTTCCTTTTTTTTTTTGAGACAGAGTCTCACTTTGTTGCCCAGGCTAGAGTGAGTGCCATGGAGTCAGCCTAGCTCACAGCAACCTCAAACTCCTGAGCTCAAGCAATCCTCCTGCCTCCTGAGTAGCTGGGAATACAGGCATGCACCACCATGCCCGGCTAATTTTTTTATATATATTAGTTGGCCAATTAATTTGTTTCTATTTATAGTAGAGACGGAGTCTCACTCTTGCTCAGGCTGGTTTCAAACTCCTGACCTCAAGCAATCCTCCCGCCTTGGCCTCCCAGAGCACTAGGATTACAGGTGTGAGCCACTGTGCCCGGCCCATTCTCCTCCTCTTCAGGTAACTAACAAACATTAAAAGATTAGTCTGGAGACTTGAAGCTGACACCGCGACACTTGAATTAGTTTTAGCAGAAGAGAAATGGAGAAGCCATAGAACATTAAGGATGCATTCAAGAAGGCCTGAGACCATGGAAAGCTTGCCTGCTCTCTACACTATTTTCCAAGGAGAGGTTGCTATGGTGACAGACTATGGAGCATTTATCAAAATCCCTGGCTGTCGGAAGCAAGGTCTGGTCCATCGAACTCATATGTCATCCTGTCGGGTGGATAAGCCCTCTGAAATAGTAGATGTCGGAGACAAAGTGTGGGTGAAGCTTATTGGCCGAGAGATGAAAAATGATAGGATAAAAGTATCCCTCTCCATGAAAGTTGTCAACCAAGGGACTGGGAAAGACCTTGATCCCAACAACGTTACATTGAGCCAGAAGAGAGAGGGCGTTCCTTCCAGGATTACACTGGGCAAAAGATCACCCTCGAGGCTGTCCTGAACACTACCTGCAAGAAGTGTGGTTGTAAAGGCCACTTTGCAAAAGATTGCTTCATGCAGCAGGGTGGGGGACCAAATACCTCTGATACCTGATGAGGAAGAGGAGAAGAAGAAGCAAAGACTGCAGAAGTTGAGAAGCTGACCCATGAAGAATTCTCTAGAAAAAGAAAGAAGGAAGAAGAAAAAGAAACATAGAGACAGAAGTCATCCGACTCTGACAGCTCAGACTCTGAGAGATACAGCCAAGAGGCAAGGGCACACATCAAAAGACAGCAAGGCAGCAAGAAAGACCAAGAAGAGCCACAAGGAGTGAGAGTAGCAAGATGCAGAGGGTGGTTGAACCAGGGCCTTGTGCCTTGAAGCCTGGCTCCTAGAAAGACTCAACAGTGAGAAATGGCTTCCACCCCTTAAGTTTCACTCCCATGGAGATGCGTCCCTCGTGCAACAGCAGGTTTGAGATTAGAGTCACAAGTAGCTGCCTGAATGAGTTTTGTTTCCTTGTCACTCCTGGTCCTTTTGCAAGACCCTCACCACAATTCATTCATCCAGCTTCCTTCATCCAAGAGGTCCTATTACCTTCTCCAGCGGCCACTGCCAGATGAGCCTGCACAGGAGTCCAGGCTACGCCACCAGGGACTGCTGTTGGTAAGTCTGGCTGTATTAGAGAACAGAGGACTGCCCTTCTATTGGTTCTGTGGCTGACTGGTGGTGACTCTGCTCATCCAACATAGGGCAAGAGACTGGCAGCCAGAGGGAGGATTGTGTTAAGAAGTGGTCTCACCCTTTCCATCCCCAGCATGGTTCTGTGCTAGAGAGGGACAGCCAGTGCCACTGACCAGAAACATCATTTTGCCGTGTGACTTAGCTAGTGTATGACATTCCAGCGGACCACTGAACTGGACAGCTGAAACCAAGATCATTGTTCCACTTTGTATTTACTACTGTGTAAGTCAGTTGATTCTACTTCAGGTCCCTGCTTAAATCCTGGCACTAAAAAAAAAAAAAAAAAAAAAAAAAAAAAAAAAAAAAAGATTAGTCTGTAAACCTCTACATTTTACTTTAAATGCATACAGATACACATGTATAATACGTACTTGAGATTTTTAGTTATTTCCAAAAATGGGGTTATGCTATAGCTGTTACTTAACAACTTGGTTTTTTTGTTTTGTTGTTTTCTTTTTTTGAGACAGGGTCTCACCTGGTTTCCTGGGCAAGAGTGCAGTGGCATTATCATAGCTCACTGCAGTCTTGAACTCCTATGCTCAAGAGATCCTCCAGCCTCAGTATCCCAAAGTGCTGTGCATTTAGGTGTAAGTCACCCCACATGGCCACAACATGCATTTCTCACTTAAACTTACAACATAGATATTTTGCAGTTCAACAATACAGATATAATTAATAGTTTTAATTTCATTTTTATTTTTTTGAGACAGAGTCTCACTTTGTAGCCTGGGTTAGAGTGCCCTGCCGTCCACCTAGCTCACAGCAGCCTCAAACTCCTGGGCTCAAGCAATCCTTGGGCCTCAGCCTCTCAAGTAGCAGGACTACAGGTATGCGCCACCATGCCCAGCTAAGATTTTCTATATATTTTTAGTTGGCCAATTAATTTATATTTTTGGTAGAGACGGGGGTCTCGCTCTTGCTCAGGCTAGTTTTGAACTCCTGACCTCGAGCAATCCTCTGGCCTTGGCCTCCCAGAGTGCTAGGATTATAGGCGTGAGCCACTGTGCCTGGCCTAATTAATAGTTTTTAATAGCTATAAAATAGTCCATAGAGTGAATGTTTCACAATTTATTCAATGGTAAATTAAATTAACTACATAAATGGTATTGATGGGCATTCAGTTTCCTTCACTTTTTTCCCTCTACTACAGTGTTGCAATAGTATCTTGCTACATACATCTTTATAAACTGATTCTTTTATTCCTGTAGGACAGATTCCCAAACATGGGATTACTGAACTGAATAATATATATAATATTCATAGATAAAGGTTATAGTTATTCACACCCCCACCAAGAATGTCTGAAGTCAATTCCTTACCCCTCCCCCACCCCAGCTCCATTTAATCTTACACTAAGATGTTATTAGTCATTAATTTTTGCCAGTTTTATAAATAAAAATGCTATCTCTTTGTTTTAGTTTGCATTTATCTAAACTACTACTGGAATTTAGAGTCTTTTTATATGTTTTTTTTTAATCATTGGCATTTTCTCTTTTGTAAATTGCCTATTGCCTATTCATATACTTAGTCTATGTATATTGAGTTGTTTACTTCTTATAGAGCTCTCGCTTTTTGTTTTTTTTTTTTTGTTTTTTTACTCTTGCTTCTCTCTGGAAGTAGAGCTCTTTGTATTTTATATATTTATAATGTTAACCACAATTCTGTGGTCATATTAGTGGCAAATATTATTATTATTATTATTATTATTTTACAGACAGAATCTTGCTATGTTGCCCCAGCTGAAATCAAACTCCTTGGCTCAAGCCATCCTCCCTCCTCAGCCTACTGAGTAGTCAGGACTATGGCATGTGCCTGCACAAGACAGTGGCAAATATAATATTTTTCACATGCATTTTTTCCACTTCTAAAATTCTATCCTTTGCCATATTAAAATGTTTAAAGTTTTATGTAGTCGAATTTGTTTATCTTTTCTTCTGTTGCTTCTGAATTTCCTGTCTTCCCTAAGATAAAATAATGTCATTTAGATTACGGTAATTAGAATAAGAAAGAAATGAAAGAAGAAAGAAGGTATGAAAATGATTATCTTCAAGGCAGTTTCAAAGAAGGAAAAAAGGGATGGAAAAGTGGCAGAATTTTGGTTCAGAGTATGGTCGAAGTTAAAGCTGGGCCCAGTGTGGTGTCTCATGCCTGTAATGCTAACACTCTGGGAGGTCGAGTCGGGAGGATTGCTCAAGGTCAGAAGTTCAAAACCACCAGCCTGAGCAAAAAATGAGACCCCCCTCCTACTAAAACTAGAAAGAAATTAATTGGGGGGAGGGGAGCATGGGCAATATATGTAACCTTAACACTTGTACCCCCATAATACGCTAAAATAAAAAAAATGAAAAAAAATTAATTGGCCAACATAAAAATATGTAGAAAAAATTAGCCGGGCATGGTGGCGCATTCCTGTAGTCCCAGCTACTCAGGAGGCTGAGGCAGAAGGATTGCTCGAGCCCAGGAATTTGAGGTTGCTGTGAGCAAGGCTGATGCCATGGCACTCTAGCCCGGGCAACAGAGTGAGACTCTGTCCCAAAAAAAAAGATAAAGCTGGACACTAAAATTATAAAGACAGATTTTAATCAGTAATATATTATTGCAATAGGAAAAAGTCCAGCATGAACTGAACTGAATTTCCATTTGTATGGTGGTGACTGAGCATTTTGAAAGAGAACAAGGGAATAGGGAAAGGAGTGAGCAGGAGCTCAGTGGAATCAGGGAAGCAAAAAAATTACAAAAAGCAGGAAGTAGGGATTTGTCCATGTGAAACCCATGTGGGTTTGTTAATCTAATCACCCACAGAGGTTTGGGGATGGGGTCCTATCTTCAGATATTGGTTGGAATAGTCAATTATATTGGCAGCCCTGAGTTTTCTCAGGCAGGGACTTTCAGGGGGTTAGGCTCAACCTAGGGATGCATTTTGAGCTGTTAGAAACTATGTTAATGTTTTGTTCTAGTCTTTATAGGCCAAGGTTGAGGCCTAGTTGAAAAGAGGGCTCAGAGGAGCCTGGCTAGAATTTGGTCATGGAGAGAATCTTCCTCAGTATTTAGCTTCCTAAGGATACTGGGTACCTGGACAGCACTCCATTGACCTAATGTTACACTTCATATGTATGGTAACATTTTTCCCCGATGGTATTTTAAAAACCCTTTTGAGTTTCTATGGCATTCCTATTTTGAATGGCTAATGGTCCAGAATGAGGGAGCCCTCTGACTCCCACTTTGCAAGTTTTCTAGCTATCTTTGCACCAAAGTGCCCTTTCAGTAAACTCTTTCAGAAGGATTCAGAGCCACAGTCAAAGTTTCCAGATATAACACTTGGGTTAAGGTCACTAACATGACCAATTCTAATCAGCCAACAAATACTTATTAAGGGCCTATTGGACTTAACACACTGAGGTATTTTTTTTTTTTGAGACAGAGTCTCGCTTTGTTGCCCAGGCTAGAGTGAGTGCCATGGCATCAGCCTAGCTCACAGCAACCTCAAACTCCTGGGCTCAAGCAATCCTTCTGCCTCAGCCTCCCAAGTAGCTGGGACTAAGGCATGTGCCACCATGCCCGGCTAATTTTTTCTATATATATTAGTTGGCCAATTAATTTCTTTCTCTTTATAGTAGAGACGGGGTCTTGCTCTTGCTCAGGCTGGTTTCGAACTCTTTATCGCGAGCAATCCTCCCGCCTTGGCCTCCCAGAGTGCTAGGATTACAGGTGTGAGCCACCGCACCCGGCCCACACTGAGGTATTGTGGTCATGTAGTTTGGCAAATGGAAAGTAAAAAACACACAGTTTAGTTTTTTCTTTGTAATTTCTAGATGTAGTGAAAAAGGGACTTAATCTTCATATTTTTATGTTCCTAAGGAGTGTGTTTATTTCCTGTAGGACATGCATCTTGTTCTATTAACACCTCCACTCTTTCTGTTGTGTTTTACTGGCCTCTTTGCTGTCTCTCAAACATACCAGGCTTTCTCTAGAACACCCCCTTTTTTTTTTTTTTTTTTTTTTGAGACAGAGTCTCACTCTGTTGCCCGGGCTTGATGTCAGCCTAGCTCACAGCAACCTCAAACTCCTGGGCTCAAGCAATCCTCCTACCTCAGCCTCCCAAGTAGCTGGGACTACAGGCATGCACCACCATGCCCAGCTAAGTTTTTCTATATATTTTTAGTTGGCCAATTAATTTCTATTTTTGGTAGAGATGGAGTCTCGATCTTCCTCAGGCTGGTTTCGAACTCCTGTCCTTGAGTGATCCTCCTGCCTCAGCCTCTCAGAGTGCTAGGATTACAGGTGTGAGCCACCATGCTGGCCCCAACCTTCTTTTTTCTTTTTTTATGAGACAGAGTCTCACTCTGTTGCCCAGGCTAGAGTGCTGTGGTGTCAGCCTAGCTCACAGCAACCTCAAACTCCTGGGCTCAGGCAATCCTTCTGCCTCAGCCTCCTGAGTAGCTGGGACTACAGGCATGTGCCACCATGCCCAGCTAATTTATTCTATATATTTTGGTTGGCCAATTCCAACCTTCTTATGAACATGCATAATGTTCAACTGTATGATGTGTAGGAGAGGAAAAAAACAATTTTTCCTTTACTCTTCTGAGTTTTAGTTGTGACAGATTCCTCTAACAAAAGACATATTATCCAAAACAAACAAAAAAGCAAACAACAACAACAACAAAAAACCCAAACACAAGTTTTAATAACATTGTTATGGTCCAAAGTTCGAGAAAAGACCACCTTAGAAACCAAATTGGGTCACATTGTGAGTCTTTATTTACTGGCCAGGACTACTGCTGTCCTGCAGAGTGGCAGGCACAGAAAAGTAGTGATGAGCTAAAAAAAACAGCTCCTTTTAAAGACAAAAACCACAGTCTAAAAAATTATGTAGGCCACCCGTCATCCTAGCATTCTGGGAGACCGAGGCGGTAGGATTGCTCGAGGTCAGGAGTTCAAAACCAGCCTGAGCAAGAGCGAGACTTCATCTCCACTAAAACAATAGAAAGAAATTAATTGGCCAACTAATATATATAGAAAAAATTAGCTGGGCATTGTGGCACATGCCTGTACTCCCAGCTACTTGGGAGGCTGATGCAGATGGATCGCTCTAGCCAAGGATTTTGAGGTTGCTGTGAGTTAGGCTGATGCCATGGCACTCTAGCCCAGGAAACAGAGACTCTTTCTCAGAAAAAAAAAAAAAAATTATCTGATTGTTCAAGCACAGTCAGAAGGGGCCTTACGTGACTAGAGACACATGAGCGAGGGTATGGTTTTCTACATTTTATCATGTTCTCTCCAGATGGCTGGAGCCCCGGGCTGGGCCGGCCT